ACATTTTGAATATTCTGAGATACTGATTTCAGAAACTTTAAAAAGTGAAAAAATAAAATATATACATATATATGTATATCTCACTAAATATATCTCACTAAAATATGTACATATATATATATATATATATCTCCTTTTGGAATAGCCACTTCCCCATATGCATAAAATGCTTGTATTTATTTACACTGATAAAAGTGGTATGTGGTTTAAAGGGAACTTGAGTGGCGTGTTCACTCACAGAATGTTGGCCTCTGTTCTGCCTGTACTAGCCCAGCTCATTGTTTTTTTGAGAATAGAGACTTACTTGATCCAGTGTCCCCACGCAGCCTCCAGCAGTAACCAGATGGTGGGTGGAAGGTGTTAGTGAGGGTGATGGTGACCACAGCCAGGACTGTCCCTGGAGTCCAAGGATTAAATAAGTAAGGCAGTCCGCTGCTTATTAACCAGCTTTATTTCTTAGCAGTTTTCTGAAATGAGGCCAAGTCCACCATTTCTACAGCTCTGATCCGCTTATCTCTCTTTCTTAGATGAAAAGAGAAGATTTACACTCCATGAAGTACGTGGAGCTTTACCTCGTGGCTGATTATGCAGAGGTGAGTGGGAGCAGGGGAAGTGCTGTCTTGATCACCTCCATCCCAGGCTTCACACTGCTCAGGGCAGTGCTCACACATTCATCTTTCTCCAGTTTCTCTTATGATTTTGACCTTATATCTGACCAAGGGCTCTTTTTGCCATTTTAAACATAGTTGGGAAAAAAAGCCAAGAAAAGTCTCTCCTAGCTCAATTTTATCAATCAGATAGAAAGTCAGCATAATTGTCTGGCTTAACATTTCATAAACTAGGTCTAAAGACCTTTAGGTTCTGATGTTTATTCTTAGGGTGTCCATGAAATCTCTATGGAAATTTTAAAAATTCTCTTTTTTGCGAAGATAATAAGTATATTCTCATTTTCTTGCCCATGTGTGGGTTCATTTTTATAATCATGTTGATGTCAAATGAAGACCTAAAGCCATGGTTCCCAAAATGTGGTCCGCAGACCAGTAGCATTAGCAGTGCCTGGGAACTTGTGAGAAATGCAAATTCAAAGGAAATAGCAGTTTAGCTTTTAATTCCACATTCCTCCAATTAGTCAGATTCTAAGATTTGATGAACACTCATCTACTCACTTCTATTCCTCAGCAAGCTCTTGATCGTCTATTATGTGCCAAGCACTGTTGGAGATATAGCTCTCACGAGATCACGCCCACCCCTGGCATTGCAGAGTCTGCAGTAATAGCACAAAAAGTCTATAGTTCCAGTGTGAAACTGCCAAGGTGCACCATTAGGGAGGATGAGAGTGCATCTAATGCAGGGTCCAACACAGTTTTGGGAAACTGGGAAAGCTTCTCTGAGGCAGTGATGTGGAAGCTGACACCTGGGGAATGGGTTCAGGCCCCAGAGCCCAGATTCACCCCAATTAGCCAGATGTTCCCTCCAGTTTTCACTTTATGTAGTGACTCAACTCATGACTCAGCGTGTCTTCTGCACACTGGAACATCAGAATGAGCAGAGCCCTCACTGTGTTCTGACACTGTGCATGCTCACCTGGGGCTCCCTGGAGTGCAGAATGCATCACAGCCCTGGTCTGTCTCACACCCCATCCAAATGGTTTACCAGCTCCCCAAAAGGCCTCATTGTAAGGCCTACCAAGTCCATAATCCCAAAGCACAGATTCTGGAGGTAGCACCAGGTAGCACTCGACTTCAGGCCGGAAGGCCTTTGAGTGTTAGTGGCAGGAGGAGGTGGCCCTTGAGCTGTCTTAAAGGACAAGGAGGAGATAACTGAGTGGAGAAGTGGAGAAG